CCCGGAAAATACTTTTTTGTGTCATGAAATGGAGACAAGAGAGTAACTCTGTCAATTCTCCAACAAGTCCTTCCTTTGAGTTCCCGGTGAAGATGATGAAGTGTGAATCTACTTCTCAGACAGGCAAAAGGAACGTTGATGCAAACTCAGAACTCTGAGGCCATTTCATTCGCCTTGTTTATTTAGAAAAATCCAATTTCTCTAACTTTTTTTTTTTGGCAGTGATAACAGCAGACAAGCTAAATGATTTAACGGAGGGATCTTATTTACAATGTTAGCTGCTGCCATCTAGTGTCCTTTTGGAAGAAGAACATAGTATTTTTTAGATTCTTTTCAAAGGCCAGAAAGTTAATTGCCTTAAGAAAAATCTGCAAGATACTTACCGGAACTGTCTATTTAAATAGAGTAGGACTGCAAATAGAAGAAGGAATTATTTGATTAATTACATATGCAGACTATCAAAGCAAAAAGTTGGCCTTTAAAAATGTATGGATCAATGATTTCAAAGAGTTGAAAAATCGTGGCTTATCCAGATGCCATCCACCCCCCACCCCCGCCCCAATAATGCTCCATTCAAATCCTCCATCATCTATTTTAATGTCACCACTTTCCTTCCTTCATTCAGGATGGAGGCCAGTGGAACACAGCCTAGGAAAACATCAAACTTTTTGAAGAATTTTGGAAAGTATATATTCTCAAGACACTATCTGTTGTTCTTTTTAGGCGATGTCAAGTTGCCTAGGACTGACTCATAGTGACCCTGTGAACAACAGATAGAAACCCTTCCAGGTCCTGCACCAACCTCACAATCTCTGCGTGCTCAGGGTCATTGGTATAGCCACTGTGTCAACATCATCTTGTGGAAGAGCTTCCTCTCCTATAACCCTCTCCACCTTTTCCCAGTATGATGTCTTTTCCCAAGGTTAGATGCCCCTGACAATATGACCAAAGTATGTGTGATAAAGTTTCACCATCTTTGCCCCTAAGGAGCACACTGGTTGCCCTTTCTCTAAGATTTGTTTGTTCTTTTGGCAGTTCATGGGATATTCAACCCTCATTGACACCACAACTCAAAGGCATCTCTTATTCTGTCATCTTTATCCATTGTCCAATGTTCAGATGCATAGGAAGCAACTGAAAATATTATGGCATAATGTCCTCCAGGTTCACCCATGTGGTATAATATTTCCTGAGTTCCTTGGTTTTCAGTGCTCTGTAATATTCCATTATGAATATACCATAGTTTTTCTGTCCACTCATTTGTTCATGGGCACTTGGATTGCTTTCATTTCCTTGCTATTGTGAATACTGCAATAATAAACATGGGTGTGCATATATCTGTTTGGGTGGCAGCTCTGGTATCTTTAGGGTATATTCCTAGTAATGGAACTGCTGGACCAAAGGGTATTTCTATTTCCAGCTTATTGAGAAGCACCATACTGCCTTCCAGCAGTGAATAAGGGTTCTAGTCTCTCCACAACCTCACCAGCATTTGTTGTTTGCTGCTCTGTTGAACTTTGCTATTGTTTTTGGTGTGAGATGATATCTCATAGTTGTTTTGGAAAAAATAACTTTAAAATAAACTAGCAATTGACTTTTAGTCTTGGACTAAGATGGGGCCAATGCCCCCTACACTGTCAGCTACAGCATATCATCTTCCAGGTGTTTTCCTACTGAGAAGCATTGCTTCTCCGACTGTTTGACTAGTTTGTTCTCCTTCACCTTGCTTCTCAATGTGGGAGCTCAAGTCTGGAGCTCTTAGATCTGTCCTTTTCACTCTTTACTTTTCTCCTTACACAGACTTATCCATGTCCACAGTTTCAGTTACACTCTACCCAGGAGGATTCCTAAGCATATATCTTCAGCATAGACTTCTGTGAACATCTTGCACATACACCTAATCACCCACTCAATGTTTTTCTTGGTTTGCCTCTGAGGCTTCTCAAACTCAGCTTGCCAAAAAACTGAACTTGTGATCCTTCTTCTATGTTGTCCCAACCCTAGCCTTGCAATCTCTACAACCTTGCCAGCACTTATTGTTTGCTGCTCTGTTGAACTTTGTTATTGTTACTGTGGTGAGATGATATCACGTAGTTGTTTTGATTTGCATCTCTCTGAGAGCTAGAGATTTTGAGCATTTGTTCATGTTTGTTTTCCACCTGAATGTCTTCTTTGGTGAAGTGTCTAGTCATATCCTGTGCTCATTTTACGATTGAACTGTTTGCCTTTTTCTTACTGAGGTGTTGGAAAATACTATCAATTCCTTGTACCTAGATGTCATTTTGGACACTTTTTTCCTCTCTCTCTCTGCCCATCAATGTTCCTCCATCAGCCTCAAGTCTAGCTTTTTTTGTTTTCTTAATTGCTTTCTCCACGTTCCCTGTGTGTTCTTCCCTATTTAACCATCTCCATCCAAACTGATATTTCTTTTTAAAGTACATTTGTTTAATCATGCTATTACTTTACCTAACATTCGCCAATGGTTTCCCTTTAGTTTCAAGAAGACAAACATCCTTAGAATGACCTGGAAGGCCTTACATAACTGACCCTTGTCTCCCTCCCAGCTTCATTTTGAGCTGCTCTTACCTTCACTATGATCTTCAACTGACTGACTTTCAGTCCCTTTAACAAGTCCTGCTCCCTTCCTCCACAAGAATATTATTCTGTTCATTCTGCTTTAAACAACTTGTTTAAGGTGTTGTAGCTGTTGTTGTTGTTGTCTTCATTATTGTTAGGTACCATCAACTTGGTTCTCATTCAAAGTGACTCTATGTACAACAAAACAAAACACTGTCCAATCCTACACCACCCTCATAGTCATTGCTTTATTCGAGTTCATTGTTACAGCTACTGTATCAATCTTTTATCTCTTTGAGGGTCTTCCTTCCTCTTTTTTTGTTTATCCTCTATCTACCAAGCATGATGTCCTTCTAGAACTGGCCCTTCAACACGCCCAAAGTACGTGGTCTAAAGTTTCACCAACCTTGAGTCTATACAGCTTCCTGACTGCGCTTATCTCAAGGCATATTTGTTCATTCTTCTGGCAGTCCATTGCATATTCAGTGTTCTTCATCAACATCATAACTCAAAGGCATCAATTCTGTTTTGTTCCTCCTTATTCACTGCCCAACTTTCACGTGCAGCAAAGGTGATTGAAAGGTCAGACACACGTTAGTCTTCAACTTGATAACTTCGTTTTTTAACACTTTAAAGAAGTCCTTTGCAACAGATTGGCTTTAAAAACTCCTTCCCATGCTTCCAAACACTACTGAAAAGTTTCTTCCAGAGAAATTTCCCCAGACAGTCCCCTCATTCCTCCACCTCCCCATCTCTAATGTAGGGCCCTCCAGTTAGAGATCCTCTGTGGATTTATCTCTCAAAACACTAATCAGAGCTTATTCTTAATCAAATAGCACACTACCACAGTGTATCTGTTTCTCCATATATTGCAACTCTTTTAAGGACTATATCTGTTTTTACTGACCATTGTACACTCATTCCCAGGTATATAGCAGTCATTTGGTAAATATTCACTGAGTAAATAATTACATCTTGATATGTTGTCTGTCTCCTGTGTGTGGATGCCTCTGTGTCTAATCTGTTCTTTTTTTAATAACTCAGGTTTAATTAGATTTAGAATCCATCCTACTTGGTTATGATCTAAGTAATAGAACAAGAAAAGTCCTATTTTTGCTAAATAGTGTATATGGTTTTTATTGTAAAAAATAGAAGGCTAATTAGTAAAATGAGTGTGGGGACACAAGGGGAGAAGGGATGGGAACAGAGTGGGGAGGATGGGTTGGGGGAAAAATCAAAGGGGCACAATTTGGAGCAAGGGTAAGGAAAATGAGAAAGATCCAGTGAGGCTCTGGAAAGACAGGGTCATGATTGGCATGATTTAATGGTGAATGATTCTATAATACAAAATGAACGAGAATGACTGTATGAAAAGACAATGTGAATGAAGGGATAGTATGAAAGACAATGTTTATGAACTTTGTATGTAAACCAATGTAAAATTTAAAAATAAATAAATCCTAGGGAGCTCAGGTGGCCTAGTAGCAAGAAGCTGCAGTGCAATCCCAATGGTACATGGTTAAAATCCACCAGATGTTCACTGGAGAAGGAGGGGCAATCTCCTCCTGTGCCAGTTGGCTCTGACTGGATGGTACACAACAGGAAAAAAGAAATAAATACAAATAAACTCTATTTTCAAACAGAATTACAGATGTGAGGATAAGCTTAAGATGCTAAAACATAGTTTGAGAGATACATTTTAATGTGTAACAGAGATGTGAACAGATCAGGCTTCAATTCTCAGATGCCCAAACACTTGCCAATGCTCCAGATTCTTCTTTCCAGATTCCAGATTCCTGCACTGAGTTGTCAGCATGGCTGTCAGCACGGCTGCCCAGTCTTAGGGACTCCCTTGAAACTCCAATATAATCTCCCTGCTAGGCCAAGTTCCCACTAGAGAAAGATATTGCTAAGATTTCAGTTAGCATAGCTGCACTTTCATTTTAAAGATGCCTCATAAGCGCCAAGTATTATTACTGAGGAGGCTGAAGAAGCTTCTCTGGAGAGCGTAAAAACAGGTCACTTCTCTAAGGACCACACAAGTTCAGCTGGGTGGGTAAGAGAAGAATAAAAGAATTCTCCAGGATCTCTTTCCTCCCTAATATTTTAAAACCATGGCTGTTTGATAACTTTGGTCATGATCCCTCGATGCACACAGAAAAGGCCCCTTAATCTCTTAACTCTCCAACCAATGTCCAGATCAATAAGGTGCTGGCAACAGCCCAATATAACAATAAAGAGTCTACACAGCATGGAAAGTTTGTGTGGATGCAGCTGTAATATTGTAGGAATCGCTTTCCCTGTGTGCTTGCCTGAATAAATGCTGCTTTTGCAAAGTGTTAAGATAGTTTAATGTCTGGCTTTTATGTTTCATCATCTCATGGCATGAGGAATGCTGAATGTTCTAAATGTTGGGCTTCTAGAAGCTTGAACCCATTGACCTGCCACAAGTAATTACTTCTGAACTGCTCCTGAGCCAGCAAGAAGCTGGGGCTGCACACAAAGCAAAGGTGAACTGAGGCAATTACCCGGTAAGGTGGGGGCTCAGGGAGGCTGCAGGATGCAGTGGGGTGGAGAGGGGGCAAGCTGTCCTTTTCATTACTCCCTGCACAGGGGCCCTCAAACACAAATCAGACAGAGAAGTCATTCAGAGTTATACCTTGTCAAAGCTATCCATTTCTCCATTAGAAATCTTTTCATGTTCTAAACGTGAAAGGAAAACCTTAGAGTATTTTCAAGACTTTCTACCTCTTATCATTTTCCATCTTGTTAGGGGGCGCTGTGGAGCTGGCTAATCTAGGGAAAGTTGTTCAGATGCTATAGACCCTCATGCGCATGCTTGTGGCTCTGACAGCACTTCAAAGATGACACCTTTCCTAAGGCTCATCAATAGATATGGTCACTGTCCACGGGGAATGTAGCCCAGGTTACACCTCTACTATTTCCTAGCTACAGCAGGTGAAGAAGGTGTATTGGCCCTGGCTGCCCTCTGCAAATGTCTGCACTGTCTTGCCGGAGATTATGACATACGAGGGGCAGATTACCAGAGTCAGAACTACAAATTCTCCCTAAACTGCAATATTCCCCAGGGCTTGTACAGGTATTTCAGGGTGTACTCTATAGCCATGGCATCCAGTCAGTGGTCCCACTCTCATTTCGTAGCAAACAATCAGTGGTGGAAGAGTCAGGGAGAAGGGAGTTTCATCAAACCATAAACAGATTTCTGGACCGACAGCAATAAACATCTGTTGACAGGGGAAATAATATCTTGTCAAAATGAAATGTGGGAAGCTATTACCATTCAAGGTTTGCAAAGTTTGACTAGAATCTTTTAAAAATCCTATTATGTACACAGCAAAACCAAACCCACTGCTGGCAAGTCAGTTCATAGCAGTCTCCCAGTGGGCTTCCAAGGCTAGACATCTTTACTAGTGGAGACTGCCTATCTTTCTCCCTTGTGGCCACTGGCTGATTAGGATTGCTGATCTGAGGGTTAGCAGTCTGGTGCACTATGCCACCAGGGCTCCTTATATTTGGTCAAGTGTCATTTAATTCAGAGGTAGCTACTCACAGTGTTCATCAAGGAAATGCAATAGATCACCTTAGACCTCACAAGAGATCTCTATGCATTACAGTTCATTCATTGATTGACTGATTAATTGCTCGGTATGATATTTTGTCCCAGAAGAGCTTTAAAGTCATGGCTTGCAGGTTGTTGTTGTTGTTGACTGCCTTCGAGTCAAGCACGACTCATAGTGACCCTAAGAACAAAAGGCCTAAAGCCCCTCTACAAATATCTACATTTATCAAAGTTCATAGAGTTTCCGGAGACATGTTATTTAGCAAGTAGATGCCACTCCTGCTTCCAAATGGTTTGAACAGTGGGTAAAAAATTATTCCATAATAACCAGTGTCTTATCTTTTGTGCAGGAACTGAATAAGAAGATGCAAGAATCAATGTATATTTTGGGGAAACGCCAATACTTACATAAGATGCAAATGCTAGAAATGAACCGTAAAAAACAAGAGGTAAATATGAGAAGATGAAGAATGTCATATTTATCAAATGTACTCCACATAACCTTTGCCCCAGACCATGAGAATGTAGTTGTGTTAATGGGTACCATGGAGTCAAAACTGACCCATAGAAGGTTTCCAGAGGCAGTAAATCATACAGGAGAAGACTGGCCATCTATCTCCCATGGGGCAGCTTGTGGATTCAAACCTTATACCTTTGTGTTGGCAGTGTAATTCCTTACTACTGGGAAAAGGATAGGCAATCTCCTCCTGTGCAATTAATTGCCTCTGAAAACCAGTCAGAGGGTCAAGTATGGGTCAGTTCTGAGTCTATAGAACACCACTACCACAACAACAAAGCCATCAGCTCTCCCTGAGAATATGAACATAGGTAAGCATATATCACCTGTCTTTACTTAGTTGTTTAAATTCAGTCATTGAAGCTAAAACTGAACTACTGAATCTAGGAAGAATCAGGAAGTCCTTTCTATACACACCTCTGTTGAGTCTTTTCTCTCTCTATATTTCATCTCAATGGGATATGTGTGCCTCAACTATCCTTGGAGGGGGGGGACTATATATATATATAATTTGTTGATTGCCATCGAGTTGAGTGCAATTCATAGCAACTCTATAAACAAAAGATCTGAAGCCTTTCTATAACTATCATTGTTTCTCAAAGTTCATTGAATTTCCAGAGGCATATTGTTTAGAAAATGGATGCCACTCCTGATATATATATAAATATATATATATAACAGGTTTACAGAGTCAGTTATTCTCATGAGAGGAGATTGCCCATCCTTCTCCCTCAGAGCAGCTGGTGGCCTCGAACCACATGCTTTCGTGATTGCAACACACCTTCTTGCCACTAGGCAACAGATGATAGATAGATAGATAGATAGATGATAGATAGATAGATAGATGATAGATCGTTCTAGAGCTAGATGATATAGATATATAGAGATAGAGATAGATGATAAAGATATATGTAATTTGTTTTACTTTTTTGTGCTGTTGAGAATATACTCAGCAGAGCATATATTAATTCAATGGTTTTTATGTAGAATTTGGAGATCTGGACTCTATTCTTCAAGTTGTGTAAACATTATCATACTCTGAGTTGTTTTCTGAGTTGTTCCTTCATGATTAATAGAAATTTACCACCCCCTAAGCTTCCTGTCTAATTGTTATAGTTACAATTGTCAGTTTGATCCTATACAGACAGATCTTAGAAGAACACAACAATCTCCTCCTGTACCAGTCAGATCTGATTTGACGGTACACGCACACAAAAATAATAAAATAAAAACTTTAAAAAATTTAAAAAAAAAGAACACAAAGTTCAAGGCAGAAATGTTTAGCTAGTTAAGCAAAATTATTTTTTTTATTTTGCATTATTTTTAATTGATCTGCTTACAAAGTTTATATACATTGTGTTTCACACTATTCTTCATTCACATTGTGTTTCGTATAATCAATCTCATGAATTATGTTTTATAAAATTAATCACCATTGAACCTTGCCCACTATTACTCTGTCTTTTTACCTGGATCCTTTCCCTTTGCTTTCCCTCGCCTCCCTCTACCCATCAGACTATGCAACCTTGTGGTTGACTTCAAACAGATGTTTCGCTTAAGGTTTAAAGATTATCTCAAGGTAATTGTCTCAGGAGTTCATCAGTCTCTGTGGATTTATAAAAGTCTGGAGTTAAGAAAATTTGAATTTCTGTTCTGCATTTTTATCACTTTTGGTAAAGATTCTTCTATAGACTCTTTACTTATTATTCAGTAATAATAGCCGAGAAACATTGAGTTCTTTCTGGTTTTGTGGTAAAGAGGGCAGTTACTTATAGACAAAATTGGCCAACATTGCATTTCTCCCTACTATTCCTGATCTCCTTCTTCCTCTGTTGTTCTAGGCAAAAAGAAACCAATTGTTGTACCTTGGTCACTTATAGTCTTTTAATACCCATATACTACACAATTGACTAAAATGTAGAACAGAATCACTAAATATAATACTATCACAATTAACTGATTTCCCCTTTTAAAATACCATTTCTTTAATATTCTAGTCCCAAGAAGAAAATTAAATTTTTTTCCTGCTTTATTTGAGGTAGGTAGGTGTGTTGTCCTTTACTTTGATATCTAGGCACGTCTTTATAATCCATCTTATAGAATTATCTTACAAGAAATGTCTCTTATAATAACCTTCTTTACCAGCAATGTCTCCTGTAACTGCTATGTCTAAGTTTCTCACTTTACTGAATAAGCCAATGCCTGATGCAGCTTCATTTAGCACAGAGAGAACTGTGTTTACAAAAGTGTCATCTTTTTCACTTTAAAAAAATTTAATATTTTTATTTTAAAATATACACACTCAAAAACTCAGCATCACGTTTATAATCCGTTCTTATTACACCTGTTAGGTTGTGCCACCATTCCACCCTTTCCAAAATATTCTAATTTTTAACACAAACTCAGTATCCATTAAGGAAAAATATTCCCTTATTTCCACTGTGACAATCATTAATAATACTTGTTTTCTAAAGATTTGCTTATTTCACATAAGTGAAACAATATATTTTCCTTTTGTGGTTTATTCATTAAGTTACATACCCAGTACATTTTCAATGTTCATCATTGTGACATACAACACAACTTTACTCTTCTTTATGTTGTTGTTGTGTACCATTTTAAGTTGAAACCAGCTCATAGCGGGCCCTCCAGGAAGTAAATAACACTAGAGGAGATGGCCATCTTTCTCCTGTGGAACATCTGATGGTTTCAAACCGCAGGTGGATAAAGGGTTGACAGTGCAATTCTTGTAATGTGATTCATTGCAACCCTATAGGGAAACAGACTGCCACACCTTTCTCCTGTGGAACAGCTGATAGGTTCAAACCACTGACCTTTCCGGTAACAGCTGAGCACTTACCATTTCACCATAATTTACTATTCTATGTGTGTATTCATCTGTTCAGGGACATGTATGTCTATTGTTTCTACCCCAAAATACAGCTTGCAAAGTGATTGCTCTGTAGATTTACTGTGATGTAAGTAGCTCAGAGAGCACATTAATCATTTATGACTGATTGTTTTTAGGCCCAAATGGAGTTGAAGAAAAGTCTTCACAGGGAGGCAAAAATTAATATACAAAATCTGAGACAGCATAAAACGAAGAAAATTCTTCAAAACATCCCAAGGAATGAAGACCATGATCTTTTAACCTGGTTGCCTGATGAAACAGTGAACCGAAGTCCTGGTTAAGTCTTGCGATTAATTTTTTTTTTTTTAATAAAAACATCGTATTTATAATGCTTTTAAAACTTTACAAAATTATCTCCCAGTTGGAGGTGAAGATGGAGGGGTGGAAAGACAGTAAACAGCCTTAGGTTCCTGCTGGTATTTTATTTTGTGGAACTTGGTGTGAATGTTGTCATAGAATTTTAAATGGCCTGGAGGAAAAGACCAAAACTTAGCTTCTGTTATAAGATTTCTATGTTTTCATCTGATTTAGTATGCTTGGCACAAGTTATTGCAACCCTGGTATCATTTCTAGGAAGAGAGCAGACAAAAATAGCCTCATTTTGTCGTTAGAGGGAATGAAGTACATGGTAATACAGACAGTCCTAGGTTACTAATGAGACTGGCTCCCAACTACGTCTTTAAGAATTTACAGATAAGTTGAATCAGGCATGTGCAGTCTGCAGATAGCTGTGCTGCCCATTTGAAGATCACACCTCTCTGATCGTTCAAATCTACCAGCTGTTGTTCCACAAGAGAAAAGATGGACATTCTCCTCCCATCTGATTTACAGTCTCAAGAATGCAGTGGAGGATTATTTCCAATGGGATGGCGATGGGCTTAGGAGTTTTTATTACATGAAAAGGCTCAAAACCTTTTCAGTGATTTAAAATCTGTATGTGCAGTGTTTGAAGGTGGTTGTGATGTATTGAAGGTAGAGGGCCGGTTCAGCAAGCCCTGGTGATGCAGTGGTTAAAGTGTACAACTTCCAGACAAAAGACTGGTGGTTCAACTCCAATCAGTAGCTCCACGAGAGAGAGAAGTGGCAGCCTTCCACATTGATTCACCAGCCTTGAAAACTCCGTGGAGTGGTTCTACTCTGTCTTGTGGTGATTTTGTGAGTTGGAATCAACTTGATGACAATGCAGAATCAACTTGCTGGCAGTACATGGGGCATTAGTTCAGTCTTCCTAAGCAAAGGCAAATCCACATCATTAAAGGCAAGTAGAAATTGTCTACTAGTCAGACCTGAGGAATGCCTGTATATTATGTTGCTTGGAGTCACAAGGTAAACTGGTATCCTTGGCCAGTTTTGTGCCTTATGCAGACACTCCTCTCTTCACCTACGAAGTCATCCCACTCAGATATGCCTCAGAATGTCGAAAAGTAAATCCTAGCATCATTTCTCCCCCTATACTGTCATTCCTCCTGCCTTCATTGTGTAGTGAGTGGAGTCTCCATGCACCAACCAGAGACTTGAAGCCCTTGGACTGTCTTCTTGCAGTCAGTAAATCACCAGGTCCTATTGCCACCTCTTTGTGTTGACATCTGTCCTCTCTCTCATCCTCAGTGACACTGTCTTGAATCAGACCATCATCATGCCACACTTAAGGCTGTTGCTTGAGGCTCCTGTCCCAGGTCTTACACTCCTTCCACCAACCCTCCACGATAGTGCTTCTCAGGGTGGTCCCAGACCACCAGCAACAGCGTTATCTGGGAAGCTGTTAGAAATGCAGAGATCAAGGCACCGCTTTAGACCTGCTGAATCAGGATCTACTGTGATAATGAGTCCCAGGTAATTCTCATTAAGCTCTATTACAGAAGAGCTGTTATATTAAGTTGCCCTTGAGTTGATTCTTTGTTTGTGTCCTGGAGTTGATGCTGATTCATAGTGATCCTATATGTGCAAAGTAGAACTGCTCCAGAGGGTTTTCAAGAGCAAAGTCATCTTCGGTAAGCGCAAACTTGACCATGGCACCCTCCAATCTCTTACTTTAAAAAAAATCCTTTGGCAAGTCTTCATCAGCCTGAAGACAAAGTCTTAAGTCTTTAAGATGCTGCCCTTGGCCTTTCGGGATCTGCCTGATGACTACCTTTTTTTATTTTTTATTTTAAATTTTTTTTTATTTTAATCAAAGTTTACAGAGACTTTGGATTTCTATTCATATATTGTTGCACATTTTCCTCCCTAGTTGCCTACCTTTCTAACTGCATTTCCTACCATTCTCATTTCTAACTTCGACACTCCAGTCTCACTGATTTACTAAGACTACGCTGTGTTTTCCAAAGGACATCTGCATCCATCACATCACCTCGACACCACACTATTGTCATTGTAATTGTGTGTACCATGATGGAGTTGAAATTGACCCATAGCTGCCCCTCCAGGGCGGTTTCAGAGGCAGCAATCACATGAGAGGAGACTGCTTATCCTTCTCCTGCAGAGCAACTGGCAGGCTCGGTCCTCGTGCCTCGGGGATTGCAGTACAGACTGCTCAATTAGCATCCTCCCTGCTCCCATTTATCCCCAAGAAGGTCTGGCATGCAGATTAAAGTATTCAACTGCTAAACAAAAATCAGGGAGGGAAAACTGACCAGCTTCTTGCTGCTTGCTGCTTTGGGAAAGATTTACAGCCTTGGGAACTCTACAGAGCAATTCTATGCTGTTTATAGAGTAGCTGTGAATTGGAGTTGAGAGGAGTGGGTGGTTTTCCACAGGGCAAACTCCCAGATGCTAAAGTGTGATCTTGTTCACACACACAGACGACTGTGTTGCAGGCATTTGGCTACAGCAGTGGCCACACCAGCTGAAGAGCAGCCAAAGGAGCTGCAGAAATGCTAGCCTCGTCTCTAACAGTCTCAAACATCCCAAATGCAAAATCATCTCAGAGGAGCAAGATGCACAATCAATAAGTTAATTGAATAAGAAAAGGTTAAATAATTAGAAGAGCATGCAGGACATTTATTTAGTCTCTGCTTCCAAGTCCCATAGTGAAATGTGCTTTATAACCATGAAGATAAGCAACCTTCACAATTTAAAAAGTGCCAAGAAATTTATTGCCAAGAAAAAAATATCTCCTAAGGTCAGACATAGAGTCCTCATCAAAGGCAGGACAAACTGACATTAGAAGCTGCCCTAGCCTGAAAAATCCGAGGAGAGTCTAGCATATGCAGAGGTGATTTTCCTCTCCCAACCTGATGCTGTTAAAAGCTGCTTTTATATAGATGATGAAGAGATTGAGATTGTTAACAGCTTTAGTTTGCTTGGCTCCACAATCAATTCTTGGTACCAGCAGTCAGGAAATTAAAAGATGAATTGCACTGTAAAAGTCTGCTGTCAGAGACCTCTCCAAAGTACTGAAGAGCAACAATATCAGTCTAGAGACTAAGGTGCACCTGAATCAGGCCGTGGTCTTTACAATTACTTGCTATGTGTCAGAAAGCTGGACAATGAGTAGGGATGATAGAAAGAGAATTGATACCTTTGAACTGTGGTGCTGGAGAAGAGTATTGAATATGCCATGGATGGCTAGGAGAACAAACAGGTTCGTCCTAGAGAGTGTGAAGCCAGGCACCTCCTTGGAGATAATGATTCTGAAGCTTCTTCTGACATACTTTGGGCATGCTTGGGAGGATGTAGGGACAGCACAAGAGAGGAAGAACTTGGGTGAGATGGACTGATTCAGTGATTGGGGTAATGGGGATAGGTGTGTCAGAGATAATGAGATTGGCACAGGACATAGGGTCACTATGAGTCACAAGTGACTCAACAGCACATAACAACAAACAACAACAACCTGATGCTGTCAAAAGCTGCTTTTATTGTTCACTTTTAACATTTATTGAATGCTTACTAAAAGCCAGGAACTATGCATCACTCTTTATATATGTGATTTAATTTCATTCTTATGTAACCTAGAATGTAGGGGTTATCATTAGGTCCATTTCATGAGTGAGGAAACTGAGATTAGGGAATTTGCCTAACATGGAAGAGGCAGAATGCAAGGCCAGGTCTTTCTGACATTGAAGTGTATACTCTCCCCCATTCTCTCAAACAGCCTCACCAGAACTACTGAGATGTGGAGTTGTATTATAAATAAATTAAATAAATAAATAAGCTTTAGAAGAGTCTTCAAATGTAATTTCTTAATCGTTTGTTTTAAAAATAAGCAGCCCTCTGTTACTTGTGAAAGGAAGAAGAGATTATCAGTCATGTCTACAAGGGTGTATCATTCAGTTCTGCGGTTTAAATCTCATCACAAAGCATTATACATGTTAAAGTGATGTTGTTGTTAGGTGCTGTTGAGTCAAGTACAACTCATAGCAGCCATATGAACAACAGATCTGAACCCGGTCCTGTTCAGTGCCATTCTCACAATCTCTGACACACTCAATTCCATCTCTGTAGTGACTATGTCAACCTACCTGGTTGGAGGTCTTCCCTTCCTTCACTTTCGCTTTCCCACGTCCCATGTTGTAAGTCTCCAAGGAATAGCCTGTCCTAGCTCCATGCTCAAATATGTGAGATGTAGAAAATGCTTTCTTCTCTTGCTGCCGCTTGCCTCCCCTCAGCAGAATGGAGTCGTTTGTTAGATGCTGTAGAGAGAGTTCCAACTCTGTGTACAACAGAACAAAATCCTGCCTGATCCTATGCTGACCTCACAATCTGTCTTGTGCTTAAGCCCATTGTTGTAATCATTGTGTCAATCCATGTCATCGTGGGTTGTTTTGTCTTTTATCGACCTGCTTACTTTTCCAAGCATAACGTCCTTCCCCAAGAATTAGCCCCCTCATGATAACATGTTCAAATCCCATGAGACAAAGTTTCACCACCTTTGCTTCTATGGACATAAGCAATTATTTATAAAACACTTCTTAACACTTTGTAAAGACACATACTACAAAATAGATAATCTCTGCCAATTAGTCAATTCCACCTCATTGTGACCCTATAGGACAGGGTGGTTTTTGTTACGTGTCATTGAGTTATCTGTGACTCATAGCGACCCTGTGTACAACAACCCTGAACCCTGCTCTATCCTGTGCCAATCGCACTGTCTCCGACACACCTATTCCCATTACCCGAGTCATTGAATCAACCCATCTCATTGAGGGTCTTCCTCTCCTGTGCTGTCCCTCCACCCTCCCAAGCATGACGACCCTCTCAAGGACTGGTCTTTCCTTGCCTCCAAGGAGCAGCCTGTTGTCACCCTCTCTAGTACCACAGCTCAAAGGCATCAATTCTCCTTCTATCCTCCCTAGTCATTGTCCAACTTTCTGATGCGTATAACACAATTGCAAAGACCATTGCCTGGGTCAGGTGCACCTCTGTCTCCAGAGTGGCAGCATTGCTCTTCAGTACTCTGGCAATGCCTCTAACAGCAGACTTGCCCAATGCAATTTGTCTTTTGATTTCCTGGCTGCTGGTACCAAGAGTGTTGATTGTGGAGCCTAACAAACTAAAGCTGTTAACAATCTCAATCTCTTCATCATCTATCATGATACTGCCTATCATCCTAGGATAGAATTGCTAAATAAAGTTTCAAAGGCTGTAAACCTTTACAAAAGCAGACTTTTATATCCTTTTCATGTGGAGCAGCTAGTGGGTTCAAATAGCCAAACTTTCAGTTAGCAGCCGAGTGTTTAACCACTGTACCACCAGGACTCTGTAAGCTAAAAACACAGCCTTCCTCTCAGCTCACTGGGCAGTCTGAATCCACCAGGCGTTCTCTGTGGGGAAAAGATGAGGTAGTCTGCTTCCATATATATTAACAGCCTCAAAAACCCTACTTATCAGTTCTATTCTGTACTACAAGGTTGCTATCCATTGGAATCAACTCAATGACAGCGATACTTACATATATGCACACATACATGCGTACACACACACACAAAAAAAAAACCCCCCACACCTCAATTTATTGCCACCAGTCAGAACTTACTCATAGCTGACCTTCCAGTGAGTTTCCAGAGGCTTTCCATTGCTTGGAAGGAGATTGGTGATCTTTCTTCCTCAGAGTAGCTGGTAGATTTGAACCATGAGCCTTTGGGTTGACAGTATGATTTCCACCTAGCAGGCAATCAAAGGTACCACATACATATACATGCATATATGTTGTTCCTACTGTTCTGTACCATCAAGTCGTTTGCAACTCATAACAACCCTATGTACCATCACAAAAATATAAAAATATATATTTATGACTGACAGTACACCACCAACCCATAGGTGACCCTCCAGCTGGTTTTCAAAGGTAATTAATTGCATGGGAGGAGATCGCCCATCCTTCTCCCATGCAGCAGCTGGTGGATTTGGGCTTGTGCCTTTGGGATTGCAGCACAGCTTCTCGCCACTAGGCCACAAGAGCTGCTGTGTGTATATGTACACAACACATACACACACACCATTGTTAGTTGTTGTTAAGTGTCAGTCAGCTCTGGCTCTAGTAACCTTATGAACAATAGAATGAAATACTGTTCAATCTTTTGCTGTCCTTACAATTGTTGCTGTGTGTGAGCCCATTATTGAAGCTATGACAATTAACCTCATTGAGGGTCTTCTATTTATCTTCTATTTTATAAATGTTTGTGTGTAAAAGGAATATTGGCCAAAATGTTACTAAAGAGTTGGAGTAAATGGGTGTGCATTATACTATTCTAGTGATCTAGCAGATTTACAAGTCTTTAAAATTAGTAACAATAGCAACAAAAAAATTTCCTGATTGCAGAAACAGTATTTGAATTATATGTATAGTTCTGAGGGACACTAAGAAAGTTATTCCGTGTCTTTAAATATTTAGAAACATAAACAAATTGTTAGGTGGAAAGTATAAAAGAACTTTTAATCTTTTTGTAGGCAATTCATGGAATGCAGAATTTTTAGAACATCAAGCAAATAATGACAATTTTCCCCGAAAAATTGGCAAAATGGAAACATGGTTCCATGAGCAAGAGGCCCGAGGCCAGCTCTTCTGGGATGGTTCAAGTTCCGACTCAGATGACTCAGAAAAAGATGAAAAGAAGCCAAGAGCTCTGGTGAGGACCAGGACAGAGAGAATCCCACTTTTTGATGAGTTTTTTGATCAAGAATGACAATGCTATTTGTTAATCTCCATACTCCTTACAGTGGGGGAAAAAAAATTCCTCTCAAGTTTCCAAGTTAGCATATGAACTATTCTAAGGAAATCAATACCCTTTCTCAGGTGGAAAAAGAAAAAAAGAAATTATATTGTTTGTATTCACATGGTTTACAGGGTTTTCATGTATTCTACTACTCATTATTGTAGAACTGCTTCAAAACTTAGGGGCTTCAACAAGAGTTACTTCATTCTCTTTCACTTTTCTGTGGGTTCCTGGGTGGTTCTTCTACTTGTCTTTTTTGGAGTATTTCATGAGGTTGAAGACAACCAATAGCCAGGACTGGAGTCATCTGGAGCCTCACCTGAAGTGCTAGCATAGTGAGGTCTGTTTCTCACTTTGCAGCCTCCAGCCTCTTTACAGAGTCTCTTCAAGTGGCCTCTCCAGAAAACTAGTCCATTTTCCTCTATGTCAGTTCAAGGTTTCCAAAAGCAAATGCTGCAAGTAAAGGAACCAGAAGCTGCCAGTCTGATTGTAGAACTGTTATTTCATTCCTGCAATATTCTATTGTGAATAAAAGTCACAGACAAGTTCAGAGTCAGTGAAAAAGAAACCATTCCAAGTGCACAATCTTTTAGGGTTCATCTTTAGAAACTTGACAGCACACATTTTTTGAAATCAAAATTTCTTTCTCTCTCTCTCTCTCATTGCCACCAAGTCAGAACCAACTGAACATTCATTAGCTTCCCGAAGCTGTAAATAGCACAGCAGGAGTAAGCCCATCTTTATCCTGAGGAGCTGAGTGTAGATTTAGCAGAGAGGCATAGCCTCAGGTTAGCAGCACAGCATCCTGCTACACCACCAGACTATACTCCCCAAAAAAGCAAATTAAATCTCACAAAACCAGATGATTTGATAGATTTGATAGCAATACAACTTACCCTTTTTTTCTAATGAAAATTCACAGTTGTGCTATATTCGATACTAATATCACATGGACCATTTTTGTACAATTTAGCTGCTTATTGTCTCCTTAGTAAAGAGGCCATGAAAGAGCTAAAAACTGTCAAGTGTGCTAGGTTTTTGTGAATTGAAACTGTCGAGTGAAGGCAAAGTACATCTTTAATTATGATGTAGATTTTAGACCTCTTTAAAAGGAAAAAGAATTTTAGAAATGCCTATTCCAAAAGTTATTCCATTTCCAAAAAATAGATTGCTAGGCAATTATTAAGTGTTTCTCATGTGAAAGGAGACTATGCTAAGTACAATCTAAAAATACTTTTAAGCCAGAATACTTCTTAGTTCAGAAACGTCTAAGAATTTGGTGTAATTCTTACAAAGAACAAAACATCCCTGTAAGTCTTCTCTAGGGCATTTCCAGAAAAGAAGAGAGGAAATGCATCCATGTGTGCGCGCGCACGTATGTGGCACTCACTACATTCAAGTCAGTCACTAAGAAAATAAAAAGCCTGTTATGTCAGAGAATAAACATTTTTCTAAGGGTGGAAGATAATGAGATTGTCTCTGGGCAATTCTCCTCCTGGCTCTTTCCGAAAAGTAAGGACTTACTTTTTCTGCAGAAAGTAAGAAACAAAGAGCGCTAGTGGTACAATGTTTGAGCAATAAACTGCTAACTGAAAGGCTGGCAGTTTGAACCTACCCAGAATCTCTGGAGGACAAAAAGTCTGACAATCTTCTCCCATAGAAATTGTTGCTTTTGTTAGGTGTCTGCAAGTTGACCCCAACTCGCAAGGACCCTTACAATGGATCTAAACCCTACATGATCCTACACCATCCTCAAAATCTCAAATGTACTCCTGTCCACTGTTGAGTCACTGTGTCAACCACACCATCTCCTTGAGGACCATCCTCATCTCTGACCCTCCACCTTTTTAAACCCTCCACCTTTGTAAACTTGAGAACCTTTTCCAAGAGGCTGGAGCTTCCCGACAACATGCCCAAAGCTTATGAGGTGAAGTCTCATCATCAGTACTTCTGAGGAGCACTCGGATTGCATCTGTCCCAACAGAGACCTGTTAGTTCTTCTGGCAATTCATAGGAACTTCTGGTGGCATGGTCTACAGGGGTTATGTGGTCAACCTAAAGATGACTGGTTTGAATCCATTAGCAATTACTCAGGAGAAAGACAGATAATCTCATCCTTTACAATTTATGGCCTCAAAAACAATGTATTCAGACTTTGTAAATAAAATAGTATAAAATAATTTTTTTTAAAAAAATTACTGCATGGCAATGAGGTTTTCAGTTTTGAATTTTTATACTCCATTGGATATTCAACACTCTTCCCCAATACTAAAATTTAAAGGCATCAATTCTTTCATCTTACCTATTCATTGTTCAACTTTCACATGCAACTGAAAATACTGTGTTTTGTATTAGACACACTTTCGCCCATAAGCTGACATTCCTGCTTTTTAGCACTTCAAAGAGGTCTTTGACAGCAAATTTGCTGAACTCAATGTATCTTTTCCTTTTTTTTTATTTTTTTAATGTATCTTTTCTTGACTATTGCTACCATGTGTGTTAACTGTGGATTCAAGTAAAATTAAATTCTTGACAATTTGTCATTTCTCCATTTATCACGATGCTGCTTATTGGTCTGGTTATGAAGATTTTATTTACCTTGAAGTATAATCCACACTGAAGTCTAAATTCTTTGACCTTCATTGGTTAATACTTCAGATGTTCTTTGTTTTCAGCAAGTAAAGTTGTGTCATCTGCATCCTGCAGGTTGTTGAGTCTCCTTCCAATGTTGATGTCACAGTCTTCTTCACCTTCTCAAATTATTTGCCCAACATATAAATTGAAAGCTATGGTTAAGGAGGCAAACCTGATGCATACCTTTTCTAACTCTAAACGATAGAGTACGTTGTTGTTGTGTGCCTTTGAGTCAGAACCAACCCATAGCTAATCCTCTGGTGGGTTTTCAGAGACAGTTAATCGCACGGGAGGAGATGCTTATCCTTCTCCCATGGAGCAGCTGGTAGCTTTGAACCTCATGCCTTTGGGATTGCAGTGAAGCTTCTTGTGACTAGGCCACCAGAGCCACCTAGAGTATAGAACCTAGAGAATATTTGGGGTATTCCACTGTCACATAAAATGAGAATTGCATTGATGAGTCATACAACAACAATAACAAACACATTTCCAACAAAAGAATAAATAAATTGTTTGATCAGCTAGACTTCTTGATAAAGTAAGCTCCGGAGGGGAAGAATATAGGTCCAACCTACTGACAGTGTCTTCATGCTTCATGGTTAATTGGGAGGGTTTCAAACAACATGGACAAACAACACCCAATGTTGATGTTGTGTGAAGCCCTCGAGGGGCAAAGCATGATCCCCTCAGGGCTCTGCTCGGTGACTGTAGACTGGATGGCAGCCTTCTTCTATTAGATACATGGACTGTGAGCTACATGAAAGCACAGACCATATTTCCTCCTGGTGGTGTCCCTGTTTCCCAGCATAACATCTAGGTCAGAATTTATCAGTAAATGTTGGTTGAATTCATTCATTTACGTGTTGAATTAACTAGTCAATTAGAGAAGCACTTCTTTCCAGCTATGTACTTGTTCATCTTCATTTCCATCATTTCCTAAGAATCTTAGATAAACAAGCTTGATTATACAGTGAAGAAAGGCAATTTTTTTTAAAGCTCTTGTAATTTATACATCTAAATGAATGACATAAATTAAGCATTGCCTTGGGATACAGTAGCAAGACACATATGCAAATGAGGATGCCAGGACTCAAAATATTTTTTTTATTCCACTGGGTATGTTAACTTTAAAAGAAAATTAATCATAAGTTTGCTCTGTTTTTTACTCACACATCAGTTAATATTTATTATATGTTCTGTGAAGTAGAATGTTATGTGATTTTTCCAATGAGCAAACATTATACTATAAACAGTCCCAGATTATGAACCACCTCCATTCTTAAATTTGTCTTTAAATTGAATTTGATCTAAAACCTATTAGTTAGTCAAATATATACCTTCTTCTTGTGTGCCATCAAGTTGGAACCACTCACAGCTGATCTTCCAGAGGGTTTTCAAAGGCAATACACTGCCCAGGAGGAGATTGTCCATCCTTCTCCCACAGAGCAGCTGGTGGATATGAACTGTGTGCCTTTGGTGTTGCAGCACAACTTCTTACCCCTGAACCACCAGAGCTCCCTTAGTATATAATCTACTTTTCAGTACTTAAAAAATATTAAAGAAACACTTCCAGATATATTAAAACATCTTTAACATAATAATGCAGTAATTATAATAATCATCTTCTAGTGTCTTTTGGAACCATTGTATGCACCTTGAATTTTTTTTTTTAACAAATGGGCTTTATCAGAGGGAACTCTGCTACCATAGTCCATCAAGAGTTGTGCTGCTAACACAAAGGCAGCCCCTCTCTGGTGGTTCAAATCCAGGGAAGACAGACAATCCCCTAATTTGAGATTTAAACCATCCAGAAATCTTCTGGAAGGTCAGCTATAAATCAATTCAAACTTGACAATGAGTGAGTTAAGTGCGTGAATGAATCAGGGTTGGGATCATAGGCAGTTGGACATGTCTAAAGGGACATTATGCAACATGTGACCTTTTTTTGCCAGTTCCACATAGAACCTTCCCCCAGCCAATTAGAGATTTAGACATTTGAAAGGAGTAATAAGAGTAATAATTGCTAATGTGCATTGTGTACCAAGCACTCTTCAGATGCTATACACTTTCAATCCTCACTCAGACACTTCGGGTCAGTCTTAATGTCACCCTCATTTACAGTGACAAATAGAGCTGATAAGTAACTGCCAGAGTCAGGGTCACCCAGAAGAATTGCCTTTAGAAATAGTCATCCCTCCACTCCCTAATTCTACATCCACCTCAGCTGCAATAAGTGACATTCCACATTTCTTTTTTTATTGCGTGTGATTTGGGAATATGTGTGTCTTGTGGGACTACTTTTTAGCAAAGAAGAATTGTCTTGGAGTTTGATAGTT